GCCGTGGGCATATCTGGCCAGGGATATTAAGACATGGTACGGAAAGGGATATCTGAACAGGGAGAAAGGATGAGGATCCGGGATGGGGATGGATGGGGGTATGGATATGGATAAAAGGGGATAGACATGGGGATGTGGTAAGGATAGGGATAGGGAAAGAGGCAGACTGATAGAGCGACAACCAAAAACAATGGGAGACAAAGGGAGACGACGTCGACCGAGCGATTCCGGATCCGGCAGCGTACCTACTGACTTCTGAAAGTACATACATATATACACACATGCAAAGATATAGACATACATATGAATATAGATATATATATATATATATATATATATGTATATTTATACATATCTATAGACAGGGGTCTGGTTCCGGGGGGGTCCCCGTTCGAGCCGGCGCGGCAGACGCGATTTGAAGACTCTATTCGCCCAACGACCTGCGGTGACGCCTCAATTCCCCTGACGCCCACTGAAGCTCGTGAAGCCTCTATTCGGCCTGAAGCCTCTATTCCGCTGACGCCCATTGAAGCTCGTCAAGTCTATATGCCTGAAGCCTCTATTCGGCCAGAAGACTGCATTCGGCCCGAGACGCGTCTATTCGGCCTACGAATTGCGGCGCACTGGTGGGGTGGCGACCCTAGACGCCTCTATTCGGCCTGAAGCCTCTATTCCCCTGACGCCCATTGAAGCTCGCGAAGCCTTTATTCGGCCTGACGCCTCTATATTCCCCTGACGCTCATTGAAGCTCGTGAAGCCTCTATGTTCGACGTGAAGCCTCTATTCCCCTGACGCTCATTGAAGCTCGTGAAGCCCCTATCCGGCCTGAAGCCTCTATTCCCCTGACGCTCATTGAAGCTCGTGGCACCTCTATTCGGCCTGAAGCCTCTATTCCCATGACGCCCACTGAAGCTCGTGAAGCCCCTATTCGGCCTGAAGCCTCTATTCCCCTGACGCCAATTGAAGCATGAAGCCTCAAGTCGGCCTGAAGCATTATTCCGCGGACGCCCACTGAAGCTCGTGAAGCCTCTATTCGGCCTGAAACCTCTATTCCCCTGACGCCCACTGAAGCTCGTGAAGCCTCTATATTCGGCCTTAAGCCTCTATTCCCCTGACGCCCAGTGAAGCTCGTGAAGCCTCTATTCGGCCTGAAGCCTCTATGTCCCTGACGCCCACTGAAGCTCGTGAAGCCTCTATTCGGCCTGAAGTCTCTATTCCCCTGACGCCGAGTGAAGCTCGTGAAGCTTCGGCTTGAAGCCTCTATTCCCCTGACGCCTGGTGAAGCTCGTGACGCCTCTATTCGGCTTGACGCTTCTATTCCGCCTCGGCCTCATCCTCCGGGGTGCACAGCTAGGCTGGTTGCGTGCGACCGTGGTAATTCTTAAACGCCTAACCGCTGGGCATTGCCTAACTCAGAGTGCCCTACAGCAAATGGGGCAGGTCTAGCACCAATGATTCATTTTTAAACAGCTTGGGGAAGGGTCTTGCCTAGCACAAGGTGCCGCACAGCAGATGGGGCACGTCTAGCACCAAGGATTCATGTTTTACCAATTTGAGGAGGGGTCTTGCCTAGCAGAAGGTGCCGCACAGCACATGGGGCACGCCTAGCACCAAGGATTCTTTGATTATCAACTTAGAGAGGGATCTTGCCGATCAGAGGGTGCCGCACAGCAAAGGGGCACGTCTAGCACCAAGGATTCTGCTTTAATCAACCTGGCGAGGGGTCTCGCCTAGCATAGAGCGCCGCGCAGCAAAAAGGCATGTATAGCACCGAGGACTCTGTTTTAATCAACTTGGGGAGGGGTCTTGCCTAGCAGAAGGTGCAGCACAGCAAAGGGGCTCACCTTGGAGAGGGTGCCGCACAGCAAAGGGGCACATCTAGCACCAAGGATTCTTTTTCAATCAACTTGGGGAGGGGTGTTGCCTAGCAGAAGGTGCCGCACAACACATGGGGCACGCCTAGCACCAAGGATTCTTTGATTATCAACTTGGGCAGGACTCTTGCCTATCAGAGGGTGCCGCACAAGGGGCATGTCTAGCACCAAGGATTCTTATGTAATCAACTTGGGGAGGGCTCTTGCCTAGCATAGGGTGCCGCACAGCAGATGGGGCACGTCTAGCACCAAGGATCATGTTTTAATTAACTTGGGGAGGGGTCTTGCCTAGCAGAAGGTGCAGCACAGCAAAGGGGCTCACCTTGGAGAGGGTGCCGCACAGCAAAGGGGCACATCTAGCACCAAGGACTCTTTTTCAATCAACTTGGGGAGGGGTGTTGCCTAGCAGAAGGTGCCGCACAACAGATGGGGCACGCTTAGCATCAAGGATTCTTGTTTAATCAACTTGGGGAAGGCTCCTGCCTAGCACAAGGTGCCGCACAGCAGACGGGGCACGTCTAGCATCAGGGATTCATGTTTTAATCAACTTGGGGAGGGTAGCACAAGGTGCCGCACAGCAGATAGGGGCACGTCTAGCACCAAGAATTAATTCTTTTTGAACCAATTTTGGGAGGGGTCTTGCCTAGCAGAAGGTGCCGCACAGCAGGTGTGGCACGCCTAGCACCAAGGAGTCATGTTTTATCAACTTGGGAAGGGGTCTTGCCTAGCACAGGGTGCCGCACAGCAGATGGGGCACGTCTAGCACCAAGGATGCTTTTCTAATCCACTTGGGGAGGGGTGTTGCCCAGCAGAGGGTGCCACACAGCAGATGGGGCACGTCTAGCACCAAGAATTCTATGTTGAATCTACTTGGGGAGGGGTCTCGCCTAGCAGAAGGTGCCGCACAGCAGATGGGGCACATCTAGCACCAAGGATTCATGTTTTAAACAACTTGGGGGTGGGTCTTGCCTAGCAGAGGGTGCCGCGCAGCAAAGGGGCACGTCTAGCACCAAGGATTCGTCTTTAATCAGCTTGGGGAGGGTTCTTGCCTAGCAGAAGGTGCGGCACAGCAGATGGGGCACGTCTAGCACCAAGGATTCTTTTTGAATCAGCATGGAGAGGTGCCCTGCCTAGCAGAGGGTGCCGCCCAGCAGATGGGGCGCGTCTAGCACCAAGGATTCATTATTTAATCAACTTGGGAAGGGGTCCTCCCGGAGGGGTCTTGCCCAGCAGACGGCGTTGCACAGCAGATGGGGCATGTCTAGCAGCGAGGACTCTGTTTTAAACAACTTGGGGAGGGACGTTGCCTAGCAGAGGGTGTCGCACAACAGATGGGGCACATGTTGTGTTGGACACGGCAAGCGTAAAGGAAAATTGCACTTTCAAGTCATAATTGGGAGGAGAGCGCGTTGAGTACTGGGCCTGGTGAAGAGAAGAAGCATCTTCACAGAGAATAGCGTCTTGATCCCAGAATACCGTCTTCACAGGGAATAGCGTCTTCACCGGGAATAGCGTTTTCACTGGGAATAGCGTCTCCACCCGGTATAGCGTCTTCACCGAGAATAGCGTCTTCATTGGGAGTAGCGTCTTCACCCACAGTAGCGTCTTTACCCAGAATAGCGTCTTCACAAGGAATAGCGTCTTCACCCGGAATAGCGCCTTCACCTGGAATAGCGTCTTCACCGGGTAGAGCGTCTTCAGCGGGAATAGCGTCTTCACCGGGTATAGCGGTTTCACAAAGAATAACGTCTTCACCCGGAATAGCGCCTTCGCAGGGAATAGCGTCTTCACCGGGAATAGCGTCTTCACAGGGAATAACGTCTTCATACGGGAAGTGCTGTCTGCGTCCGCAGAACGCGTCTTCACAGGGCATAGCGTCTTCACAAGGAACAGCGTCTTCACCCGGAATAACGTCTGCACCGGGAATAGCGTCTTCACCCAGAAAAGCGTCTTCACCGGGAAAAGCGTCTTCATAAGGGAAGAGCATCTTCACAGGGAATAGCGCCTTCACTGGGAATAGCGCCTTCACCCAGAATAGCGCACTCACCGGGAATAGCGTCTTCACCAAAAGTAGCGTCTTCACCGGGAATAGCGTCTTCACAGAGAGTAGCGTCTTCACCCAGAATAGCGTCTTCACCGAGAATAGCGCCTTCACCCAGGATAGCGTCTTCACAGGGAATAGCGTCTTCACCGGATATAACGTCTGCACTGGGAATAGCGCCTTCACCCGGAATAGCGTCTTCGCAGGGAATAGCGTCTTCACCCGGAACAGCGTCTTCACCGAGTCTAGCGTCTTCATAAGGGATGTGCTGTCTGTGTTCGCAGAACGCGTCTTCACAGGGAATAGCGTCTCCTTCGGGAATTAGCGTCTTCACAGGGCATAGCGTCTTCACAAGGAACAGCGTCTTCACCCGGAGTAGCGTCTTCACAGGAAATAGCGTCTTCACCGGGAATAGCGTCTTCACCCAGAATAGCGTCTTCACAGGGACGCGTCTTCACAGGGAATAGCGTCTTCAAATAGCGTCTTCGGCGCCGGCTCGAACGGGGAACCCCGGTTGCCGGGGTAAAATAGATATAGATATAGATATGGACATGGATATAGATGTAGATATTAGAGATAGATATAGATATAGCTCTATATATATGAATCACATGTCATATCTACCTAACCGGTCTGGCCTCTGTAGGGGTCCTTTATGGCGGTGAGGTACCCCGGTTTGCCCCGGTGCCCAGGTGCCTGGGTGCCCGGGTGCCCGAGTGCCCTGTTGCCCGGGTGCCCGCGTCCCCTATAGCCCTATAGCCCTATAGCCTTATAGCATTATCCCCCTATAGCCCTATCGCCCTATAGCCCTACAGCCCTATTGCCCTAATAGCCCTATAGCCGTATAGCCGTATAGCCCTATAGCCGCATGGCCCTGTAATCCTATAGCCCTATAGCCCTATAGCCCCATAGCCCTATGGCCCTATAGCCCTGTAGGCCTATAGGCCTATAGCCCTATAGCCCTATAGCCTTATAGCCCTGTAGCCCCATAGCCCTATAGCCATATAGCCCTATAGCCATATAGCCCAAAAAAGATTGTGATTGGGACTTTCCTACGGTATCATATATGTATATATGAGTTTTACGTATACAGGGAGGGTGGAAGCACACGTACAAAATCTCCGCCGGCTCATTGTGCATCCGCCTCTTCTTGGTCTTCCTGGTCCTGCTTATCGTCCTCAGGCAATGCCTCAGCATCGACGTCTTCACCTGCCGCGTCCTCAGTTTCCATCAAAATACCAGCTCAAGCGGAAAAACATTCGGGAGCCCATGACGCCTCCAAGACCGCCCGAGACCACCTGCAAGATGGCTCAACGACGATACCGCGACGGCCCAATATCATGGCCCCGAGGACTCTTCCGAAGGCCCCGAGCTCCCCCAACGGGCCCCACATGGCAATCACCGGCCCCAGAAATGCACCAAGGGGGCCCAAGAGCTTTCAAAGAACGAACACCGCACCTCAGTCACCGTGATCTTGTCGATACAGCGTCATTGGAGCTCCCGCCCCGCTTCCTGTGGGACGATTTTTTGGCCTGCATCGAATTTCATGGTCCTGAGGACCAGACACTCCCCCCGTGGGCAGAAAGTTACGGAAAAAACATCGCCTCGACTGGCTCAGCGCGATGGGGGTGCAGGTTCTCAGCGGCAAGCGAGGGGCAGAAGTGAGAAGGAGAAGGCCCTCTCAGAATGCGGCGGGGCTTCTCAGAAGGCCTCCAGCCTCATGAGAAGCTTCTCGGTGTCTTCGAAGAAGGCTCAGAAAACTTCTCTGAAGGCTGTAGGACTTCTGAGCCTTCTGAGAAGGCCCGCCCCAGGCATGCTTTCAGGCGTCCGTTCGGAGCGCCCTCAAAAGGCTCTCCCGCGCGCTGCCTGCAGACGGAGCAGCTGTGCGAGCTTGTCCCAGATAGCTCCTTGTGAGAGGCTCGATTCCTGGATCGCTCCTCGGGAGAGCTGAACGGGTTGTCAGAGAAGAAACCACCCTCTCGTTCCCCCCCGCGCGCGCCGCCGAGGTTCAGGGCCCCCCGCGGCTCCTGCTCCGTCGCTTCCTCCACGTCCGCCCCCTCCTGCGCTGGATCGTCGGCGGGCCTCGGGCGCCAGGAAAGGGCAGTGCTCTGTGCGAGCGAAGAGGCAGCTCACGCGAGCTAGGCGAGCGGCGGCCAACCTTCCGACTGGAGGCGGGGGGGGGGGCGGGGCAGGAGCAGGGGAGGAGGGAGAGGAGCATCGAGCACGAACCTTCACTTCACGAGCTCCCTGAGCGCCAGCCTCACACTCGCCCGCCTCCTCTGAGGCACCTCCAGGCCCCCCCAACCTGCTCCAGCCTCACCTCTCCTTCTTGCAGCCCCCCTCCCCCCCCCCCTTTCGCCCACTAGCCTCTTCCAGCGTACCCCACCGCCAGCCACTCGCGGGACAGGGAAGGGAGGGGGCAGAACGGGGCGGGGATGGGAGCCGTGCTCTGCACGGGCCTCCAGGGGAAGATACAGCTTCCCCTGGAGGCCGTGGACCAGACGGCGGCGCGCACCCAAGAGCCAAGCCGAGGGGGCCACCACTCCCCCATCTCGGGGTGTGGTGGCTCCGCTCGGGCCATCCCCGCTCCTCACCTGCCCTCTCGACTCCCGCCTTTCGAGCTGTCCCTCCTCCTCGCACAGCCGCTCCCATCGCACCTTGAACCCAGCTGAGCGCCCAGGCCCTCTCCTCCCCCCCACCCTACCCACACGGCCCACTCCTGCTGCGTGCCGCCACGTCGCACACACCCTCCCCCCGCACGTTTTGACCTCCGGACCTCGGGATGACGGGAGGACGGGCCCCCACTCAAGGAGAGGTGAGCCTTGGTGGGCCTCCTCCTCCCCCCAGGGAGGCTGGGGCCCACACGCGGTCCATCACTGCACACGCACGGCGCCGAAGCTTAGCTGCCACTTTTTCCTCCCTCCTCCATGGTCATAGATAGGTATCCGTCCTCCTTCTTGCTGATCTCTCTTGCTATCTTTTGGTTTCTGATCCTTTCCCGCCTGCTCACCGGCGGGAAGGGTCGAGGGCGCCACCTTTCATCAGGAGAACCGTCCGCAACACCGAGTCACCGAGGAGGATCGGGGTTCAAGATTTTGATGGTTCTTCTTACTTCGTGGGTCTCAAGGAAGCTTTTCATCGCCATGGGTGGATCACGTCAAAATTCTGGTCCAGACGCACCATCGGAGAAATCTGGGGGTCGACTTCCCCATCAGCCCTCAGTCCCTGCCATGTGCGGTGATCAAACTCGCGAAGCAACTTGAGCCTCGCTCATGAAATCCGTCACCGGGCCTTGTGCCCGTTGGGGCGTGTTAGAATTATCTTCTGCTGTCTAGGAGGTTTACCTGATGTTCAAGGGCCGCCCCCCCCTCGCCACGCGCGTCCCTTGAAAGTCGCCGCCCCTGAATTTGCCTTCCAGCTCTGTTCGGCCTCCAAGCGGCCAAGATGGCCTCCAAGGCTGAACCCAAGAAAGCCAAGATGACACCAAGACGGCCTAAGGTGGCCCTCGGGGCTCAAGACGGCCCAAGTGGACTCCAAGCAGGCCACGGAGGGCTCCAAGAGGCCCTCAAGAAGAGTCCGAGGAGGCCAAAAGGAAAGATTGTTCTCAGGTATTTCCCAACCATCCTGTGGTGTTGGGTCCTCGCTTTGGAGACACAGCGCCCCGCGTCTCCGTCCCTCTTGATGCCACAGTCCCTTCTCATATCCTCGCCTCTGCCTTCGCAGCCGTCCGAAGGTGTTGGGTCCTCGATGTGAACAGACAGCGCCACGCGTCACTCCTCCGTCCTTCTCACCCCCCCTCCCTCCCTCTTTCCATCCCTGACTCTGCCCCGCGCGTGTCTCTGTTTCGGCGCACCCCTGACGAGCTTCGTGGTCCCATTTGGGACCTCAACCGAATGCTTCCGTGGCGCAATGCGCATGCGTCCGCCCGACCCGTTTCGGCACACCTTCTACACGCCCCGTGGCCCCAGGGGGAGCTCTACCAGGCGCTTCCGCGGCGCAGCGGCATGCGCACCCCTCACACGCTTTACGGTCCCATAAGAAGCTACACCGAGCGCATCCGTGGCGCAATTCGCGTGGATCCGCCGACCAACATACTCCAGCAGACCCCATCACACGCTTTGCGGCCCCATGGGGAACTCAACCGCGGCACACTTCGCATGCCCCCGCCCAGCCCATTTCGGCACACTCACGCACACACACACACACACACACACACACACACACACACACGCACGCACGCACACACACACACACACACACACACACAAACAAACAAACAAAAAAATGCTTCGTGGCCACACTGGGAGCTCAACCGGATGCCTCCGTGGCGCAGTTCGCACGCGCCCCAGGCCACTGCCGGCACACCCCTCAAACGTCCCGTGGCCCCATGTGGAACTCCACCAGGCTCCCCCCTCGCATGCGCTCCCCCGATCTATTGCGGCACACCCCATCACGCTTCGCGGCCCCATGAGGAGCTTCACCGAATGCTTCCGCGGCGCAGCCCGCATGCGCCCCCCCTCTGCCCACTTCGGTACGTGCCTCACACGCTTCGCGGCCCCATAGCGAGCTCAACCGACTGCATCCGCGGCGCAGTTCGCCTGCGCCGCCCGGTCCATGTCGTCGCACCCCTCGTACGCTTCGTGGCCCCAGAGCGAGCTCCACGGAAGGCTCCAATCGCTGCGCTCACATGGCACCACCGCACCTAACTCGGCGCGCCACTCGCACACTTCGATGGCATACAAAAACATCCACCGAACGCGGCACCCAGGAGAATACATGAATATTTCGGTTCTCGCCTGTCGGGGTTTCCGACTGCCCAGGACGGCCCAGAGGGCCTCGAAGAGGCAGCCAATGCTGTTCCAAGACAACCCAAGAGTCGGCCCAAGAGGACTCAAAGATCGCCCAATGGGCTCCCAAGAAGGCCTCAAAACGGCGCTGACGCGCTCCAAGAAGGCACATAGACAGCCCCGACAAGGCCCCGAAGACGGCCTCCGAAGGCGCCAGACGAGCCAGAGCCCCCTACGACGGCCAAAAAAAACAGCAAGAAGGCCCAAAGAGGCCCCAGGAGGCCGCCAAGAGGCCCCACAAAGGCCATCAGGAGCTCAGGAGGCCCTAACGATGCCCCGAGAAGGCTTCCCCAGTGGCTCTGTCACTGCTCCACCCAATCCATGGTTTTTAACATCGACCTAGAGGACCCTCCACCACGCGTCTGAGTCGGGGACCACTGGGCAGCATCGGCTGCACACGACGCTGCCCAGAGAGTCCTGAGCGCCACGGCAGGGCGCACAGTCGGGGGGGGCGGAGCTGCCTCCCCCGTGCCCTGACGCGCACACTGAAAACTAATGGGGCGGCCCCCCTGATGGGCGGTCACCGCAGGGGGGGAATCACCCGCGGCCGTGCAACAGGGGGACGAGGACAGCACGAGGCAATGAAAAGGACGGTCAGCGACGCCTGCGCGACAAAACTCCAAGGCCCGAATTCCAAGGCTGGCAGCGCAACCAGCACCGCAGAGCAGGACGTCGCAAAACCCCAGAACGAACCCGCCACGTGAGCCCAGCAACCGCAGACAACCGAGCGGCCCTCCTGAGCAGCTGCCACCGCAGGGGGAGCATCCTCCACCCCCACGGCCGCGCACAGGAGGCGGTGACCACACACGCGGCGGTGAAAAGGACAGCCAGCATCGCCTGCCTGGCGGAATCCCGCGGCCCGAATTCCAGGGCTGGCTGCGTCACCAGCACCGCCAGAGAGAACGACACAAGGGCCCAAGATCGAACCCGCAACGTGGTTGGTTCAGCGACCGCAAGACAAAAACAAACAAGGAGACACGCAAGCGACGCTAGTCAGAGTCGGACAGGCCCCCACCCACCTCCAGCCCCCCACCACCACCGACGGAAAAAACGGACGACAGCGAGTGCGACCATTGGCCGCCCAGTCCATGCCAGAAAAACCCGCGGGGGCCCGTCCGTCGGTCTTCAACGCGCAAGCCCACAGCCCCTTGGCCGGCGGCACTCGAAGTGGCACCTGGGGCCGCCGAGGCTGCGGCGAGGAGACGCCTAGCGATGGCGCCCACACGCAGCCCTCGAGCAACCTCGCCCTCCTCCGAGCGGGCGGGGGGGAAGGGGCCACGCGAGTGGGCAGGGGCCCCCACCTCCTCCAGCGGCCGAGCAGAAGAAGAGGGAACCGCCCACGGCGATGGGGAGGAACTCAACATCATTTCCTCGCTTCTGCCGCAGAGGGCGGCGGCCCAGACAAAAGTATTTCCCCGCAGTTTTACCCGCGCATGACTCTTCTTGACCCGCGCAGGTCTTTCCTAGCTTCGCGATTATTCCGCCAGCGCTGTAAAAATGGCAGTCGAGACAGATGCACTGGAAGGACCCATCAGAACAATATATCACAGCACAGCGGCGGCCCCGTTTCTGGAGGAGCTGGGGATTCAGACGAGGCAGGACCGATCACACCCCACCCGAATGGCGGCAAGCTCCGCACCAACCTCGCAGACAGCACAGACACAGCCAAAACTCCCCCGCACAGGACCAATCATGCACAAGCTTGCCCTCCCTGTCCTTCTCGGGAGGACGCACGTAGGCCGCGTGGGACAGGTCTAACCGAGGCCATTTTGGGAGCAGCTTAGTGGCCAGCATACTACAGCCCTCGAAATCTTGATGGAACGGTCAATCTGGTCCAGAACATTAGGAGTAGCCGCGGGATGGAGACGGGCGCCTCTCGTCGCATTGTCGCCCGCCCACGAATTACCCTGCCTCGGGAATTTTTCCCCCAAGCTGATTCCAATCTCCTCTACGCCCTTATGCGCAGAGACCTTCCAAACTTCTCTGATGAGAGAGCCGCCCATAGAAAAAGCGCCCAACACCGAGCCAGCATTAGCCCGGTGCCCCGAAACTCTGCCCGGCGGGCCCCCGAGGCAACAGGGGCAATCGAGGCGCGATCAGAGCACAGAGACGACGGACCATCGAGGTTGACCCCCGCAGCGGCCGAGCTCGAAAACTCCCCACATTGAAATATCTGGGGCAAGTGGGCCCACACGGGCCCAAAAACTCTGACCAGCAGGTAGCCTTCGGACGACG